GTGGCTCTTAATTATAATAATTAAATGTTCCTTCTTTGACTTTTGAAGTGTTTTTTGCAATTCAGGGTTTTATGACATCTTCAAGTTCTAATAAAAGCTGTATGGCAGGTATTCTGTTTATTATGTATTTCTTTCTGTAACACCCTGCTTACAGTAGTTTTTCAAAACACTTCAAACAGAAGAAATTAAACTAAATCTTGCTTTTTGCAATAGTACATTTTTTCTTAGTAGAATTAGTATTCAGAATATTTTACCTTCCTGCACTCTGGCAAGTACTGTACTTTTGATAAATTTGGTCTTTTGTCTAGTTTTAACATAAACCCGAATCACATCATTTTAACCTCAAAATTCACATACAATGAAAAAGAAAATGGTACAATAACTCTGTGCTGCTTGTTTTAATGTGGACATTTTGTAAATATTATGGTGCTTTGAGAATGATTTGGACTTGTTTCCTACTTTGTAACTTACTACTTAAGCTATTCATCCCATATGCCACATATACTGTAGGTAGTGCATTTTTCAGAACTGATCCTCATGTAATATAACAATAAGGAAACACTATATAGGAGCTTTTAGTTAGTAGAAGCGGTATGTTAGTATTAAATAATTACCAACTATAAGCATAATCTTGCTGCTAATTAATGTCGATTTAACTGAAGGGGTATATCCCTTCTTGTACACTGAAATACTTTTCAATTTAAACAAGATACTTTTTAGATTAAATATGTAGAATGATAGAAAAAGACAGGACTAATGCTGAAACGTTTCTTGAGCAAACTACTTGACCCTGCTTTTGTTTATATTGCTATTTTGCAGTGTACAAGACAGCATGATATAGAAGCTATCAGTCGAGATTTTTTTAGAGCTATAAATCTATACTCCTTCCCCTAGAGAGTTACACTGCTGAGAGGTCTTCAGTGTGATGGAGGTCACTGAGAAGTTTTCAGGCTCTCTGAGTTTTCTGTATAATTCCTGGTTGCTAACGTGACTAGTTACAACTGGTCTCTGAGCTGTCAGAAAGCCAGAGAGGCACAGAGGCCCCATCCCTAGAGAATGTTTTGCTCTTCCAGTCAGTATCTTAGGGAATTTATTTTCTTAAAGGTAATGTCTACAGAGTTTTATCTAGGGTTTGTAATGTATGTGGTTAGGCAAACAAAACAGATTATATATAGACTTCTGTAGGGTCCCTGTTGCCTCTCTTCCCTTAAATATTGACCATGTATATGCTTAGCTAAAAGTGAACATTTTATTTGTTGCAGTTTTACATTAGTTCTTGAAGCATACTGTAAGTAGCCTTTTTAAATTCTAAGAGCAAGTATATTTTGTTTGCAAGTATACAGTGTGTACCATTTTTGGAAAACAAAAACATCTCTTAGTGACAAAACTTTGTATGGGTTATATATGTTTTAAAATGATATTTGTTTTTAAGGTTAAGCTTGTTCATCTTTAAACATTTAGTAAATCCAATAGGCAATTCATTTGAAATAACTTGAAGTGAAGCTTACAGTATTTACTGTAGTAAAAGGAGTGTTAATTTGACATGAGCAGCACTTGATCCAGAGGAGGAGGTCCTCCCAGATTTCTGAGGTCCTCACTCTGTTATGGAGAGCAAACCCAGCAGCCCTGTAGAGAAACCTTATTTCCGCCGCTTGCACCTACAGTACCATCTTATTCTTCCAATCGCTGCCCAAAACTTCTGACTATAGGTAAAGATGAGGACATAGATTGACTGGAAAACCGAGAGCTTCATCTGAAAAACTCAGCTCCCTCTTCACCACCATGGTTTGATACATTTCTGCATACAAATGATCAATCCATTGTTCAATCCCCTCTACCCTTACTTGTGAGCAAGACCCCAAGGTGCTTAAACTCCTCCTGGGGAAGCTGTTACCACCTCACCTGAAGAGAGCAAGTAATTGTTTTCCTAGAGAGAACCATGACCTTAGACTTGAAGGTGTTGACCCCCATCCAGACTGCATCACATGCGGCTGCGAACGTTTCCTGTGCGCACCAGAAATCGCAGTCAGTTGAGGCAAAGAGGACAATATTATCTGCAAACAGCAGAGATGCAACCCTCAGTTCCCCAAATGGATACTCTCCATGTTTTCTCAGGCAGTGTTTTTGTGTCTTTAACAAGTTCCTGTCTTCTATCTCATCATTAAAAATAATGACACTGAATCTTTCAGAGGATTTAAAAACGTTGTGTCTTGAACTGCACCGTTTTTTAACTTCAATTTAACTTCCATGAGCTAATGCTGACGATGTTAAAGTTTCTTCATTTCAATATCAAAAACCAAAGTACAGATCTCACACTAGGTTAATAGATAATATTTGTCTGGAAAAATTATTTAAAAGTATGGAATCACATACATTCCTATATACTGTATACAGGTACAGTATGCATTTCAAACCTGAGAACAATATTGTATTTAAAAAATAAATATCAACTATTGCTTATGCAGTTATTATCATGTTAGGAAAAAATTGTATAACTTTGCAATGTAAGTAATTTAATGTAAAAATAATTTACCATATTTCTGCACATTTTTTAACACAGTTAAAAGTTATAGTTAAAAAGTTAAAAGTATGTTTAACTGTGCAGTACCTGTATACAAAGACAGAATAAACCATGGCTCATTTATTATGCTGTTCTTATACAGCCAACAGTAGTATGTACTGTCGACGAAACTGTAAGAGACTATAGTGAACCGATATTTTAAATTATATATCAAAGTAGCTATTGTAAAAACAGTTTAAGAAAGACAGTCAAGAAGTTATCTCACTATATTTAATTTATGTTTATTATAAATCTTGAAGCATAGACCAGTAGTTTAAAATGAATTATGGTGTTTGAAACCATAATTCTTGTAGTAATACCATACAATCAGTGATAAAATTATTTTCATAAACATATTTTAGGAACCTACTTTAGTAAACAAACATGTCTTTATGAAAACATTATTTAATAGATAATTATTCCCTGTAATTAACTATATATTAAAATATCAGTTATTGTGAATGTTATATTTTTAAAGGATTTAAAGCAGAAGGTTTAATAAAATGAACTGAAAGTTTCCTAATTTTAATGTCCTAGTTAAAATAATAAATAATGCATAAGTATTCACCCAGAATATTCTGAATGTGAAATCTTTTCTTTTGCTTTCTTATCCTCTGTGTTTATATCTAAGTATATCTGTATATATTTAGTACTCACTTTTTTAGCTTTATAACACCTTTGGTCATGATCCAGCACATTAGAATTATATATGTTAGAATATAAGATACAAAGGCCCTGCAAAAGTATTCAGATACATTCTAGGGTGTCACATTGTGTGAAAAAAACACAATACAGTATGTTATTCTCAGTAGGATATACATAAAGTCGGGTATTTAACTGGGCCACTCAAGGACGCTCATCCTCTTAATCTTAAGCCTCTCCAGTGTTTTCTTTTCCTTTTGCTTTGGATCATTGTTCAGCTGAAAGACAGGTTTTTGTCCCAGTTTTAGGTCTGAAGCAGAATTTTGTCGAAGATATTCCAGTACTTTGTTCCATCTATATTCCCAGCAGTCTTGACAAGCTTTCCAAGACGTGCTGATGAGAAGTAGAACTATAACATGCCAGCAGCCATATCACCCTGCAACTCACAACTGGTAACCCACTCAAGCTAAGCAGGTGTAAGCCTGCCATCAGTACCTGGATGGGAGACCTCCTGGGAAGAAACTAAGGTTGCTGCTGGAAGAGTTATTAGTGGGGCCAGCAGGGGGCACTCACCCTGCGGTCCATGTGGGTCCTAATGCCCCAGTATAGTGACTGGGACACTATACTGTAAACAGGCGCCATCCTTCAGATGAGACGTAAAACCGAGGTCCTGACTCTCTGTGGTCATTAAAAATCCCAGGGCGTTTCTCGAAAAGAGTAGGGGTGTAACCCCGGCGTCCTGGCCAAATTTCCCATTGGCCCTTACCAATCATGGCCTCCTAATAATCCCCATCTATGAATTGGCTACATTACTCTGCTATTCTCCCCACTGATAGCTGATGTGTGGTGAGCGTTCTGGCGTACTATGGCTGGTGTCGCATCATCTAGGTGGATGCTGCACATTGGTGGTGGTGGAGGGGTTCCCCATTACCTGTAAAGCGCTTTGATTGGAGTGCCCAGAAAAGCGCTATATAAGTGTAAGCAATTATTATTATTATAATTATTATTATTATTATTATTATTATTATAATAACTAATGCTTCCACCACCAACAGCATTATGACAGTCGGGATTATGCTGACTGAGTGGTACGCTATGTTGGGTTTGGAACTGATGTAACACTTTGCATTTAGACAAAAATTTGATCACAAAATCTTTTGCCACCTTACGCATTTTTTTTTAAGTTCCATGCAATCTCCATGTGGAGTGTTCAGGACGTTGTTCTATGGATATTTTCCAATGGGTGGTTTCCCACTTTCCTCTCTGACCAGCTATTCAGTTTGGATCTGATCTAGGCTTTATGTAGGTAATGTCTAGGTGTTTTCAGTTTCTTGATGATCAATTTCACCATGATGTAAGAGATAATAAGGGTCTTTGAAATGTTTCTATACCCTTCTGCTCTGTGTCTTTGTACAGTTTTATTCCTAATTTGCTCTGAAAGCCTTTTGTCTTCAAGTGTCATTTTTTTAAATGCACTACCTTGCTGAGAGACCTTACAGGTGCATTTATACTATTAGAACTAATATTATTGCACACATACAGAGGCCATTCAACAAATTTATGACTCGTTAAGGTGACTTGTGCACCTAAATTGATTTAGGTTTGCCTCAAAAATGTTAATGATAATAAGATGAGTTTGTTTTATTTATTTTAATACTACAAAATAGAAATTGCATCAATATCTAAGAGATTTAGGAAAAAATACCCTTTAGTAAACACAATTTAAATAAAGGAATTTATAGGATGCATAGTACAGATTCATGTTTCTTATGTCGTTTTTTTTTTTACTTTTCCACAGTGGGAAGAGATAGGGGAAGTTGATGAAAACTATGCTCCAATCCATACTTACCAAGTCTGCAAGGTAATGGAACACAACCAGAATAATTGGCTCCAAACTAACTGGATCTTCAATGAAGGTGCCCAGAGGGTTTTTATTGAGCTCAAGTTCACATTGCGGGACTGTAACAGTTTGCCAGGAGGGCTGGGAACCTGCAAGGAGACTTTCAACATGTATTATTTTGAATCAGATGATGAAGAAGGCAGGAATGTCCGAGAAAGCCAGTATAACAAGATTGATACTATTGCTGCTGATGAGAGCTTCACAGAACTTGACCTGGGAGACAGGGTGATGAAGCTAAACACGGAGGTGAGAGATGTTGGGCCTTTATCTAAGAAGGGCTTTTTCCTGGCTTTTCAGGATGTAGGTGCATGCATTGCCCTGGTGTCAGTGCGTGTTTATTACAAAAAGTGCCCCACTGTTATCAAAAACCTGGCTGTCTTCCCGGATACCATTACTGGGGCTGACTCTTCCCAACTATTGGAGGTTGCAGGAACCTGTGTCAACAACTCTGTAGCTGAAGAGCTTCCCAGGATGCATTGCAGTGCTGAAGGGGAATGGCTGGTGCCCATTGGAAAGTGCATATGTCAAGCAGGATATGAAGAATTGAATGGCACCTGTCAAGGTCAGTCTAAAACTTTTTTTTTTTCGGTACTGGTCATGACTGTAAGAGATGTTATTGAGATACTGTTGTTTTTGCTTCAGTGCTTAATATACTGTAACTTTCTGCACTTCACTTGTTAAATATAAGTACTGTATTTTCGTTATAATATTTTAGGCCCAAATAGTTGGATACTGGGATCAAATTGTCTGCTGATCTGCTGTCTTGCTAGTGTTAGCAACTGTTTACTGTTTAGGAGTGTCTCAAACAGCTACTTGCGCCCAAAGTGTGCATCACTCGTCTAAACAATTATCCCTCTGAAGCCTGTTTAAAAATATAGCAGCTACTTCCACATCACAAATATCACTCATAATGTGACATTAAAATAATTTTTATTAAGAAAGAAATGAGAGAGACAAAATAAGGTTTGATATACTGCAGTAGTGGAAACAGCAAAAGCATTCCTTCTTCAGAAAACATGTTTAGAAAAATAATATAAAACATAATCCTATAAGTATACTGTAATTCTTCAGTAACTACAGTACCTCAGAAACTTTGTTTTATGTGTCAAGCACAGTGCTATAGTTAATCATTTTTAGGACAAAACAAAAATTTACTTAAGTTAGCAAACTCGGGCACAGCAGTTACAAAGTTACAAGTCTGAGTCTCATTCTTACATTCACTGTATTTGAATAGTTTTTCTTTCTGGTGCTTAGGGCAAGTACTATATTGTAACATACAGCAGTCCTGTCAGTGACCTAGAGTTAGGGCACCGTCACAATATGAAACTGAAGGCAGTGGAGTCTGTTTCATTGAGTCATTTCAGTTATGCTCAACTAAATGCAGCTTTGTTTTATTTATGATTGTTTTACTGTTGTAAATAGGATCACTTTTTGTGCAATACATACGTTAAGGGAAGTTATTCATTTTTAAGTTCCTTTCACATGTTATGAAGCCAATTAGTCTCATAGCTTAATTCTCTCTTTATTTTCTTTTAAATCACTAAAGCCAATCCTTGTTTTCTATCGGTTCTGATGCAGAAGAGATATCTGGAGCTCATACCAATAAGGTAGTTTGAGAACTCACTGCCTCCTGCAGTGAACTGATTTCTCTCAATATAAAAGAGAACCGAAAGAGAAAGAGAGCTCTTTCTCAAGGAGTCAGCTCCCAGGAAATTAGAAAGTTAAAGTCCTGGATGAGATACAATAGCATCTACTGCAAAAAAAAATGACTCCTTTGCTAAAAGAACTAGGGAACTAAAATACACCAGCAGTTGCTGTGTCTGATCTGTCTAGAGACTCAATTTAGTTCCAGCCTTGGGCCAAACTGGATTTTCTGATATTTGCAATGATTAATACGACAAGCAAAATCTCAGGCAAGTTGTACAATTTTTTTCCAAAGAGTCTTGTAGAGTCTTGTAAACGCAGACAGGAAAATTACACAACCCAAATGACTGCAATGTCCAAGAGTGCATAAACAAAGGTTAAATCTGGATCTTCAACCAAACAGGATCCGCTGGGAATTTACTACGAATTAGATTAAAATAGAGAAAGAGAGATAACCAATTGTAGAATGCCTGTATAGGGTAAATAGTAACAAATTAGTCTGACCTACACTCCAAAATATACTTTGTATAGGTCTTCCGAAATATGTCACCTGACCAGAGGGTTTGCTACTGTACATATCTTTGTTTTACTTTATGTCTAAACATCCCTCAAATCAGATAAACGGAAGTTGTTATAATTTTAACCTGTGGAATCTAGTATATCTTACTATATTGGAATGGGAGGTGCATAATGTAAGCATTGACCATCATTTGTCAGACAAATTCACTTGAAAGATATATTACCATCCAGATACACCTAAAGATGTAATTAGCCTCATACTATTATCATTGTCCTTTTAAAAACTCTGATTATGGCATACCATATACTGTATAAAGTCTATAATTTTAAACAAAAGTGTATGATACAGGTTAAATACAAGTGAAGGCCCTTCAGCCCATTTAGCTTGCTTAAGAACATAAATAGAGCATATGAAATGTTGCAAATGAGAGGAGACTATTCAAATCATTTGGTCTGTTTGGGAGTTATCTCATAAAGTCATTTCTGGTAGGAAGCCAGAGTATCAGTTTCAAATACTTGCTTTGGCAGCTTGTCCCAAACTCCCACATATCTTTGTATAAAAATGTGCCTTCTGTTCACGGTTTTAAATGCTGTTCTATGTAGCTTCCACTTGTATCTCTTGTTTGTTTGGTAGTAGCTTATTGATGGAAGGATTTCATCCAGCCTTGAAAGCAGCCAGAATATCTGTTTTGACAATATGGCTGGGCAGCTTGTTCCAGCCTCCCACAAGCCTTTGTGTAAAACAAAAAAAATGCCCAGTGGTCACAGTTTTCAATGCTCTTTCACATGTATTTCTGGGTCATGTTTCACTGTTTCTGAATAGGTCGATTCAGTTGATTTTGTGCATTCTGAATACTTGAATCTGGTGGCAATATAGACCTCTGTTTTCAAGCCAAAAAATATTTATTTTAGCCTGTCATAGTAGGATATTTGTTTGTCCGGTTGTTGTTTTTTTCTGGGCTGATTTCAGAGCAGCAAAATTACAAACAATATTTTTATGAGATGTTACTAATTTATTGTATAATTGTATAATTCTAGCATAACATCCCTTAATTTATTATTAGCTGTCAAACCTAACATTCTGTTTACCTTTTGTATTCCTTTGTCTACACATTGTTTAGAAAATGCAAATGATGTGTCAAAGTAGACAGCTTAATTTATTTTACTTAATTTTAAATTGCTGTTCTATGTGTTTGCTAATCCTATTTTTTTTGCTTTCACATGTGAACTTGACTAACTAAACCAGAATTTAAATTAGAAAAACCAGTTGTCTTACATACAGTATCTCTTTTGAGTTTTGGTAATTTCACTAACCCAGTTTGAGTATTCACCTTTTCTATGTCATCTTATGTCTGCTATTTGTTAACGAATACACAATTCATAGATGTTCATTACATTGAAGTCTAAAATGTGCCATGTTGTCTTCTTTATACATATCAATTTCTTTGATGTGTGTTGAAAAACCTTTATCAAATTTAATACCTACATTTTATAATCTCATGCTCCTTTAATTCTATTGCCATATACTGTAGGTTCTTAGCTTGGTTTTAATTATTGGTTCCGTACAAGTAATAGAAGTAAGACTGCTATAATTACATTGTCCAGCTTTTTTGTCCTTTGGGTGCTACATTAGTAAATCTGCAATACATTGCAAATTAATTGCACTGAATATTACCCCTGTCTTAAGAAATGGCTGGAGTAGTTTTTTTAACAGTTTATGAATAAGATCTCGTTTTCTCAAGTACAGTTGGTAGAATACCATCAAGCCCTTGAGATTAGTTAAAGTATTCTAATAAGTACAGCACTTCTTCATCTTCTTTGCAAATGCCAGTAAAGAAATAATTTTGTCTTTGATAACCTGAGGCATGTTGTTGTTTTTTACTTAATAAACACCTGAATGCTATATTAATTTAATACATCAGCCTTATCGTATTATTATCTAAATATTTCCTGTTATTATCTTTGAGATTTTCTTCTTCCCGTTGGTAGATTTTTGCTGCTGTATTACTACCCAAATTCTTTATTAAAGGACAATATTAAATAATACTTCATTTCCTTTGCTAATTACTTTATACAATATTACTATTTATTTTAGCTTCCTTTGCAATATTATTCAATTTGTCTCTCTTGGCCTTTATACAATGTCTTATTGGATGTACTAACAATTCATTCTGTAACTTTTCCTGTTACAACTGAATCCTGTTTTTCAATCATTTTTTGAGTACTTTCTTTCTCCTTACATTTTTCATAAATGATATGTTAATCAATTTGTGCTACTACTTGTTTGATTTTGATTTACCGATTTTTTAATTGATCAATTCTGTTTCATGCTAAATATTTTTTAATTATTGCCAAGTATTATCTACTGATACTCTGATACGTACTTCATAGTCTTCTCTTCTGAAATAAGTCTTAAGTCTTATAGTCTTATGTAAGTCTTGTAGTCTAACTATTTGTATTTGACTTGTATTTAACTATAGAACACTTTAAACATAAGGTAAGGGTTTTCGTATGGCAGGTGATATGATTAATAATCATTAGCAATTTGTACAATTTCAGTTTTAGCTACTACTGCCTATGTTAGATTTACAGTATATATAGTACTGTATAACCTAAGTCTGTATTATAATTGACATCCACATTTTGTTCCAGTGCCTGATTCTGCAATTTTTGATGTATTGTAGTACTCATCATCCGTGTTTACAGTCTCTCAAAAACAATAATCTCATTTGTGTTACTTTTGCTTTCTGTTTGGCATGTTTCAGTGATTGTAATTACATCATAATCACACACTGAAGTAGCAGCTTCAGCCTCTTACATTTTGTTTCTGATACTCCTGGGATTTAGGAATACATAATTATGCGGTCCTTTGATAATTTCTTACTTTTAGATTCACTACCCTGTCCTTCCATGACTTTACTATCTGACCTCTGATCTCACTGCATTGAGTATCTCCTCTCTCCCACACCCAGGAACTTTCATTCGAGTAATGAGTCTGACACTCTGCTGTTCTTAGGATGAGTCATGCAGGAATCTAGACATTGTAATCAAAATTAAACCACAGTTGCATAAAGTGAACATAAAAGAACATAGCAGCAGCCTGGTGTTTTTATAGTTTGATTGTACTGAAGGATGGCATTTTCCTGTAGCTTTTAAGGAAGGAAAGACTAATTGAAATCACAGTTCAGAAGTGTTTGTCATGCTGGCAACTTAGACCTCAATGACAGGAAATCTTACAGTTCGGTCTGTCGGAAGCCTTTGAGGAGCTTTTTATTAGGCCTTTTCTGTATCTTCCACTTATCCTAGCCGCTTTTTTAGTAGAAAAGCAGCTTTGTAGCTTACATTTTCATTATGGTCTGGATTTAAATATTTTCCTCAGTATAAATTTACAAGGCATAT